AGGGACAAAATATTCTAAAATGAAATGGAGATCTTTTTTAAAGGTTAAAAACTCATTCAATTTTATGTCTTACAGGGCTTATACAGGAGTTCAATATTGGCTGTATTAATTTATCTGTGAACCTAGAAACTTGCAGCCTCTTGTGAAAGAGATATACTCTTGCTCTGGAAATTGTTATTGAATATGTTAATGCTGTAATGAAATGCTTCTAATCATGTGGTTATTAAATAATTAAAAAAAAAAGTGAAGCAAAGTCAACACAAGCAGATGTAGCTACTGATGACACATCTCAGCATCATACACCACTTGCTTTATCAATAAAATTAAATTTTAGTCGAAGTCTCAGAATCTGAAAAACTGCACTTTCAAGAGCAACTGGTTTTTTCTCATCCTCTGATAAATCTGTACCCGACCAGATTTTTTTTTTATAGTGGCTACTAGTAGAGAGCCAAATTTATGGCAGAACCTTTAACATTCCCTTTTAATACAGTTCTTAACAATTTTTGAAACATACCAGCCCCCATATCCCAATAACTTTTTAAAGAGGTTTTAGAATACAGCTGAGTATATACACCAATGAATGAGGGAATAGCCTGTCTGGTGCATTAGTTAAGCACTGCAGATTTCTGTGCACCTCTAGAGTTGTTTCTTCTGTAGCACTTAATGGGCAGATTAAACTGCAAACTGTCAGTTTAAGTAATCTTTGTTTTGTTTTGTCTTTTTGAGACAGGGTCTCCTTGTAGTCCCTTGTTAGCTGCCATGTGGGTGCTGAGAACCAAACCTGGGTCCTCTGTAAGAGCATCCAGTGCTCTTAACTGCTGAGCCATCTGTCCAACCTGATTTATGATTTTCTGAATGTCAGTTTAGTGGTCTCTCTACTTTTAATGAACACCTCCTCAGCTAACTGGTTATTCCTGGCTTTTCAGTGCAATTGTGCTCTATTCATGTAAAAATACCAAGTTTTCAGCATAACCATTTCCTAAATTAAAAAAAATATATTTTTATTTTTATGTGTATGAGTGTATTGCCTTCATGTATGTGAGTGCAATGCCATATGGGAGGTCAGAAGGTGATGGATTCCCCTGGAACTGGAGTTATGTATGCCATGTGGGTGCTGGGAATCAAATCCGGGTCTTCTGTAAGAGCAGTCAGTGCTCTTAACTGCTGAGCCATCTCTCCAGCCCCTAAAAAGGCTTTTTTATTGTTCCTTCTCCTCATGCAATGGAAGAAGTCAAACATTATCTCTAGATAGAACCACTTTGTTTTTGGTCTTTTTGAGACAGGGTCTCCCTATAGCCCTAGCTGGCCTGGAACTTGCTGTGTAGACCAGACTGGCCTTGAACTCAGAAATCTGCCTGCCTTTGCCTCCCAAGTGCTGGGATTAAAGGTGTGCGCTACCATGCCTGGCTGATATAACTACTCTCAAAATTTGGTCCAGAACTTCACTGACAGGACAGTTACCACTGGAGAAACATGAAATGTATAAGCTCTGCTGATCTGACTCATGCTCCAGATCAGGTGCAGAACATATTCAAAGTACTCACATGGCTGTATTTTTGATAATTCTTCCTTGGTCCATCTTCTGTCCAATGCCATGTACAACAAACACAATATGAGAAGTCTGTGATGGCTTGTCTTCTAGCGTGGCTTCTTCTACATAGCCTCTGTGAAGTCTGGTCCCACTACTTGAGGCTGTAGAAAATTATGATCCTAAGTTTACTGCTTGGGAAATAATGTTTGTACAATATGCTTAAAGAAGAATAGTAATAATAAGAATGAAAGAAAGGGGTATAAAGGGGTATAAAGAAGAGGAAAGAATATTTGTAAAGTATATATTGATTGACTGGCATAAGATAAACTAGACATGGCACAAAATCTGAAACCATTAGGAAAAAGAAAGGATAATCAATTGTGGTGGCACACACCTTTAATCCCAGCACTTGGGAGGCAGAGGCCAGGGGATCTCTGTGAGTTCAAGGCGAGCCTGGTCTACATAGCAAGTTCCAGGCCAGCTGGGACTACAGTGAGACCCTGTCTCAAAAAAAAGTAAAATAAAAAAGTTAAAAACTTCTATATTAAAAAATACCAGTAAGAAAAGGTAAAAGATGACAGGCAAACTGGAAAAAAACAAGCTAAACCTGACATACAATGTCAATTATATATGTATACAAAGGGAACTTACTAATTAAAAAGTAAAAAACAAAACAAAAAACATTTAACATGATAAAAATGTAAAACAGTAATGCACAAAATGAATATAACCAATTCTAGGCATGTAAAATGATCTCCATTTATATCAAAGAAATTAAAATGGCATATTAATATTTTATCAGATTTAAAATGATTTTTAAAATTTGTTGCGTGCTTCCTCCCTAAAAACTACTTTTTCCCACTCTCTTATTAAAAAGATTAGCTTTTTGTGCACATGCATGTACCTCATGTGTGTGTGTGTGTATGTGTGTGGGTATGTGCACACTAGGCGTCATGTACAGGGGTCAGAGGACAACTTTAGTGTCAGTCCTTACCTTCCACCTTGCTGGAGGCAAGGTCTCCTATGCACCACTGCACATGCCAGGTAACTTGCTCACCAGCTTGCAGGGCTTCTCCTAGCTTCACCTCCCACATCCCTGTAGTAGTGTCAGGATTAGAGATGCATGCTATGCATCCAGCTTTTACATAGGTTCTGAGGATTTGAACTCAGGTCCTCATGTTTGCACTACAGCAAGAACTTTTATCCACTGAGCCATCTTCCCAACCTCTCTATTTTCTTTTAGTAAAGCTAGTTTACTTGGTGTGCTGGATAGCTTTAGTGTCAACTTGACACACGTGGGTTGAGGGAGCCTCAACTGGGGAATTGCCTCCATTGCACTGGCCTGTGGCTATGTCTGTGGGGCATCTTCTAGATTACTGAGTGATGTGGGAGGGCCCAGCCCATTGTGGATGGTGCGACCCCTGGGCAGGTGGGCCTGTGTTGTATAAGAAAGGAGGCTGAGCAGGGGCCAGGGAAGCAAGCCAGTAAACAGCGTTCTTCCATGGCCTGTGCTCCAGTTCCTGCCTCCAAGTTCCTGCCCAGAGTTCCTCCCTTGGGCTCCCTGATGAACTGTGACATGGGAGATGTAAGCTGAATAAAGCCTTTCCTCCCCAAGTTAGTATTAGTCAGGGTATTTTGTTACAGCAACGGAGAAACAAACTAGAACACTTGGTCTTAGCCAAAAGGCCAAGAAACAATTCTTTCAGTAAAATTTTAAGAAGAGTTGTCTTTTAGACTTTCTTTTTCTCTTGCTCTACTGGAACTGTAACCCATACCAACCTGGCTTCTGCCCTAACATTTCAAATCACAGATGAACCTTAATGTCACTGAAAATAATAGAAAAATTTCAAGCTTCCTCTTCCTGTACAATATATATCAACTGACATGTTCTACTTTCACTGCCTCAGGTTTAACTGCTTTCATACATACAAAAGGTATTTATTAATAAACATGTAATTATTTACTGATGAAGCATATGTATCAACTCTCAACTGCCTTAATAAAATTTCATTTAACAGGGTTCCCAACACTAAATTTAGTAACTTCTTAAAGTACATTAAAAATGGAGTATAAATTATCTATTTTGGATTCCCAACATTTTGACAAACCACATGAGTATTTAACAACTACCTTTAGAAAATCCCAGCTTCTGGGTAACGGTTCTTGCAATTTTAGATGTTGTTGCATCACTGTAAAGATACACTTCATCCACGCTGTGCCAATCCACATGGTTTCGACTCAGTTTGAAACTATGAATAGCTGTTGTAAAAAATAAAAATTTAAAGTTTTTCCAGAGAGACTGTAAAAAGTTCTAACATTAAGATTTCTGAATCACTATTGTCTAACTCAGATACCATGTACTGGAGTGTAGTAGAGAAAAACTATTAAAATCATTTACGTCACACGAGTAATGGACAGCTTTATAAATGATGGGCAATGCTACATGGAATAGTAACTTGTTAAAACAACAGAGTAACCTGTGTTAGACATGTAATTTTAACCTCTAATATGTAGTTAATATAGCTTTGGATTTGCTAAAGAGTTGTATTCCCAGTATTCCCAGGTGGTGACTCATCTTCCGTTAGTCTAAGGGATATAAACGTATTTAAAAGTTTTCAATAGCTTTGACATAGAAACTTAAGTTTCATTCCTTCCGTTGTTTTTACTAAAATACCAGAAGATAATGTGGAAATTCTACTCAGTGCAAAACAAAAGGAAGAAAATAATATATTAGCATATAAGACATTTTGGGAATGGATATTAAAGTCATCATTGACATTGCTTATCATAGCAGAATATGAAGTTGAAAGTTTAAGGAAGAATTAATGTTTTATCATAGTGTTCATGCCAATGTGGTTATTGCATTTCTGTAACTGAGGTTATGCTGGTACATGGGGTCTTAAAAAATTCAAAAGGAAGGTGGGCACGGTGGCGGTGGTGCATTGCCTTTAATCCCAGAACTCGGGAGGGAGAGGCAGGAGGATCTCTGTGAGTTCAAGGCCAGCCTGATCTACATAGTGAGTTCCAGGCCAGCTGGGGCTACAGGGAGACCCTGTCTCAAAAAAAAAAAAAAAAAATCAAAAGTAAATTTGATTCATAAGCTGCGTGAGGCAGGCACTGTGACTTGGTCAGTTCTGTGTCTTCAGCACTAAATGCAATGTTCTGAGTACAGGATACCTACAATGAATTTGTGAAAGCAATGAATTGAAAATTGACCCAATATGTCTATGAATTCAGATTTTGATATTTAATATTTTATTTATTATTTTTATTTTATGTGTATGAGTATATTGCCTGAATGTATGTGCAATGCCTCGGAGGTCAGAAGAGGGCTTTGGATTCTCCTGGAATTGGAGTTAAGGACGGTTTGTAGCTGCCATGTGGGTGCTGGGAATTGAACCTGGGTCCTCTGTAAGAGCAGTCAGTGCTCTTAACCACTGAGCCATCTCTCCAGCCCCCAGATTTTGATATTTCTTATAATTTGAAATTCTTAAACTTTTCCTCTGTATCTTTGGAATGTAAGAAAATTTTATATTTTAATCTTCTAAACACTGGTATTTCCCATCACTGTGCCTGATTTATCTTTTTTAAAATCCTGTTATGGCAAAATTTATATCCCCATTTTATTAATAAAAATTTGAGCTTCAAAGAAATTAACTGACTTTCCCCAAAGCCAGTAAGTGGCAGAGTGCATCTTCTATTTAAAGATGAGTTGAAAATAACCTCAAGCTGAAGATACAGCTCTGAATAAAAGAACAAAGCCCTGATGGAGATCATAAGGCATGCTAAGCCATGCGCTCCCTACTCAAATACTGGTATACAATAAGAAGATATGCCTCTGACATTACAAATAACAATAAAAAATTTTTAATGAAAAAACAATCTATATTTTGCTTACCTGCCAGGACATATTACTAAGAACACAAGACTAAGATTCTGTTACTACAACACACATTAATATCTTCAGTTCCAAAGAAGACAATGTACAAGGTTTGTTTAATGACTATTTATACACTGTATTTTTGTTAAAATAGTTCTGAGTCACAAACATTTAGATTTCAACTATACAATCAAAATATTTAGAGAAAAGCATAAATATAGCAAAGTTTTTTCCTCCTTAAATCATCTATGTCTTAAAGTAAAACAGCTTAATATTGGCAAACAATAATGGAATACACTCCATTTACAAGTGTTTATACATATAATAATGTAATACTAAGCGAAATGCACAACAGACACATTTTAATAAAAAGCTAGTAATGTCTATGCTTTAAGCACAACTGAACTAAAGCTGGGCATTAACTACAGAGAAATAGAACTACAGTTACTGTACCTTGGGAACGCTTTCGTTTAAGACCTGCCGCATCTGTACTCTCCTTATATCCTCTCCATTTGAACAGAGAAGGGAGGGAGAAGGGAGGGAGGTGGTAGACAACTAAGAAAGCAAAAACACTGAGCTTCAAAGTAAATTGAAATGAGTTTTTCCATTTTGCCTTTTCCTTTTAGTATTAACTTAAAGTTGTATTTGACAAACATTATTCTAAATACTTTATTTATGTAATTCTAGTTTTAAAATCAGTAAAGCAAAACATTAGTTTAATGTCTGTCAAATACATGCTTTACATTTATTGAAAGAAACAAAGGCGAATGATATTTAAATTTAGCAGTTGTAGACAATTATGGGACTATCACTTAGTAGCTTCACATAGCTAGGAAAAATGCATGGCATTTGGAATGCTAAGATTTATTTTACAATACTAAGGTTATTTATGTTCACCAAATTTGTGATGACGTACCCAACAGGTAATACACAATTTGAGAATCAGAAAATAACATTTAAAAGCTTAATTCAGCTTGCCTGAGATAACACAGTATATGTTCCATCGAATGCTTTCCATTACTGAAGTAGGACTGCTTGAAACTGCCCTCAGAAGCAAGGCATTATTCAACTCTGCTCAAGTTGTTAAAAAGACATTTTTCTTCTTTTTTGGTCTTTTTGAGACAGGTCCAGCTGGCCTGGAACTCGCTATGCAGACCAGGCTGGCCTTGAACTCACATAGAACCGCCTGCCTCTGCCTCCCAAGTGCTGGGATTAAAGGCATGCACCACCACTTCTGGCCAAGACCTTTTTCTTTTAAGACAGGGTCTCGCTATGTAGCCCTGGTTGGCTTGGAACTCACTATGTAGACCAGGCTGGCCTCAAACTCACAGCAATCAGTCTGCCTCTGCCTCCTGAGTGCTGGGACTAAGGGTGTGTACCACCATGCCTGGCTAAAAAGGACTTTTACAAATGAAAAATTTAAAAGAAAAATCAAATTGGAAGCTCTGCTTTTAACTATCCCTTTGAGAAAGATTGATAACATAATGAAAAGAATATCAAAAGACATACGCTGTGCTATCTTGTAGGCATAAAACAGACAACAAAGAAAAGCCAGGCTTAGACTTGGTATTTGGCAAATCAGTAGATTAACCTTAAAGTCAATATGTTTCTTGTCAAATTTTGTTAGTTATATTATCATATATTTAGGTAATTATTGATATCCACTTGAAACTGAATCATATAAACCAGTTTACTACTTTAGTTAACAAATTACTAAATTTTTATGATTTAGTTAAAAATTAGGTTCTAATATATTTAATTTTCACCCTCACTCCCTTCTACATGACTATGACAAAGGTTAAATACTGCTCAAATATGAAAATATTTATGTTGTATACACAACTGAAGTATATGCAAAGATTTGTGCAATAAAGCCATTTATTAAATCTTTACAAGGCATTAACAAGTATACCTACACCTACACGTACTTAGATGGATGTAAGAACTACAAACTACTGCTAAAAGCTGGGTTAGAGCAGGACTAAAAGCTTTCTAGGCCACAGAGGTAGAAAACGACAGGTGAAGCAGCTCTCTCCCCATAGCATTTCTTCCTTCATGTGCCTTCTGGTCAGTTATTTGGGAGCAAAGGTATACACTCAGACCAGGAAACAGCCTAAACCAAAAGTTCACTAGGAAAATGTCACTAACATATCAAAAGGCATCAGATGGACATAAACTTAATAATTTACTAAACAAGGAAAAAAAACCCTAGATTTTGTGCATCTAGCAGTAAAACTATTTTGGGACAAATTCTGTATTTACAAAAGAGAACTAATGGGAATCATTTGACATTATAAAATTACGTGAATATTTTCAGAAAGCTGGTCAAGATACAAAAATGAATCATTGACTTTCTAAACAACAGAATAACTTAATAAACAAACCCCAATAATCACAGAAAAAGAGAACAGCTTTTTACCCTCAAACAGAAAACTGCACTATTTAAAACATTTTTGCAAAATTAAATAGACATGCTTCTTTACTTTTCAAATTTATTTTCTCTCTCTCTCTCTCCCTCTCTCTTCTTTCTTTCTTTCTTTCTTTCTTTCTTTCTTTCTTTCTTTCGTCTTTTTCTGTAGCCCCAGCTGGCCTGGAACTTGCTGTGTAGACCAGACTGGCTTCCCAAACTCACAGAGAACCACCTGCCTCCCAAGTGCTGGGATTAAAGGCGTGTGCCACCATCCCCAGCTCAAATTTATTTTCACTTGAAATTTCTTTGCTAGAGAGCATAACTCTTTTCACCCAGTTCATAGAAGTATAGGTATTATCACCTTATAGCAGAAGAAAACAAGCATTTACTATCACTTCAAACATGGATCACTGTTAAAAGGAAATTCAAGTGCTAGAAAGTACCATTTCCTTTGTGTTTTGTTAAAAACAGAGTGAGTAGTTCCTATGTATGACTGGCAGGAGTATGTATAAACTCATAACAAAACTGAAACTACTAGTTTATCAACTGAGAACAATTAAAATGTTCTTTTTAAATATTAAAGTCTTATACAGTAATGAAAAAGATTTAAAACACTAAAATATTTACAATAATTTCCTTACCAATTAATCTCTTAAAGAAATTTTCACCATCATGTAATTCTGAATGCAACAAGTTTTACCTAAAAATTTAGCTGACAGCATAATAATTCCTAGAGCAGAAAAACAACAACTTTTCCCTTTATGAAAGCTGGCAACCTGGGTAATTATTACTGATTTATTCTTTTTTGAGACAGGGCCTTGCCTAGGCTGCCTCAAATGATCTCCCCTTCTTCAGACATCTTTCCAAGTGCTGAGAATACAGGAATGTACTATGATGCCTGGCACTGACCTGGAAATTTTGAGGTCTCTGAGAAAACAGTCTTGTATATCTCAGACATGCTAACTACAATAATAAAACCCCCATCTTGGACCGCAGGTAAATTAAGTCGAACAATTTATAAAAATTAAATCACAGCCTCAAACTAGAAGTTGGGAACCCTCAGTTACCAAAGGAAGAAGGCCTTGCCTCCATCTTTTAAACTTTTTAAATGCTCTTCTCTTTTTCAAAAAATTTATTTTTATGTGTATGAGTGCCTGCATGTATGTAAATGCACCCATGTCATGTGATGCCCACGGAGGTCAGAAGAGGGCACTGGATTCTCTGAACTGGAGTTATGGATGGTTGTTAGATGCCATGTAGGTGCTGGGAATTGAACCCAGGTCCTTAAAGAGCAGTCAGTGCTCTTAATCACTGAACCATCTCTCCAGTCCTGAGATGCTCTTTTCATAGTATGGAATATTCTCATTCACAAGTGATAGGAATATATACTTTCCCCATCAAATTGCTAAATGTCGTAAATCCTTAGAGTCAATAATATATGTGCCATCACAATACCTCAAATAAGCTTGATGGCAAAAACCCCAATACTTTTTTTTTTTAGTCTATGACTTTAGTGTGACTATTTTTTGGTGGTGCTAGGGATAAAATCCAGGATCTTCCCCATGCTAGGCAAGTGCTTAGTGTAACTTGAATGCAAACTGTAGGTAGGTGCTGCTCTTCCCAAACCTATGACTGACCCGACTTTTTATCAGTGTTAGCTGATGTGCATTTATCACGGTTACTGTTGGTGTGAACTCAGGTCACTATTTTTCTTTGTGTCCCATCTGTTTTTTCTTTCTCTGTTCCTACTTTCCTGGTTTGTTTTATATTAGCTAGAATTTTAGTATTTCATTTTAACTTCTCTACTGTCATTAAAAAACAAACCAAAGGTCAGGTATGGTGGCTCATGCCTTTAATCCCAGCACAAAACAAAACAAAACAAAACAAAAACAAACCCCACAACAAAAAACCAAACCAACACCCCCTTTCATTTTGGAATAATTGTGGACTTTACAGAAAGGTAGCAAAAATAGTACAGGGAGTTACTATATACCTGTCACTCAACTTCCCATTATTTTAGCATGTTGTATAATTATAGGATGATCATCACATTAAGAATTAACATTGGGTATAATGCTATCAGCTGATGCACAGACTTCACTCAGAGTTCACCACTTTTCTACTAACGTCTTCTGTTCTAGGATCCAGTCCAGGATACCATATTACATTCTGTTGTCACATTGCCTTAGTCTCCTCCTACCTATGACAAATTTTTCAATGTTTTCTTCATTATCTTGATTTATTTATTTTTTTCTGAGACAAGTTCTTAGTATGTAGACCCGGAACTCACAGAGATCCACCTACCTCTGCCTCCGGAATGGTGGAGCTAAAGGTATGCACCACCAAATACAGTGGTGCATGTCTGGCGATCTTTTAAAAAGCAAGTCTGAACAAAATGGGCAAGTGTTTTTTGTTACTTTGTAGAACAAGTCTTAATGAGTTTGTCCTATGTTTTTTTCTGTGAGGTTGTACATTTTCTGCCAAGAGTTAAGCACAATAGTGCTTTTATTTATTTTTTGGACTTTTTTTTTAGGGATAGTCTTAGGTTTAAGGCTAGTGTTTGAGTTAGGTATAGGGCTAGGGTTAGTGTTAGGGTTAGGGTTAGGTCTATAGTTACAGTTAGGGTTAGTTTTCAGTTGAGGGCTGGGATTAGGGTTAGGGTTAGGTTTGGATCAGGATTTATATTTAGAATTAAGATTAGAGTTAGGGTTAGAATTAGTATTACAGCTAGTGTCAGGTTTACATTAGTGTTTAGGATTAGGTTTAGAGTTAGGGTTAGTTTTAGGCGAAGGTTAGGGCTCGGGTTAGGATTAGGGTTAAGGTCAGGGCTAGAGTTAGGGTTAGGTTTAGTGCTAGGATACGGTCAGTGTTAGGGTTAGGTTTAGGGTTACCTGTAGAGTTAGGATTAGCATTAGTGTTAGAGCCAGGATTATGGTTAGGGTTAGGATTAGGACTTGGGTTAAAGCTAGGGTTGGGGTTAGGTTTATGGATAGGGCTAGGGTTAGGGTTAGTGTTAGAGTTAGGTCTAGGGTTAGTTTTAGGGTTATGATTAGGGTTAGGATTAGGGCTATGGTTGTGTTTAGGGTTAGGGAGAGGTAAAGTGTTCAGATTATTATCAGGGGTAGATTTAGAATTGGTTCAGGTTTAGGTTTAAGAATAGAGTTGGGGCTAGACTTAAGGTTGCATCTAGGGGCAGGTTTAGGGTTAGGATTAGGTTTAGGGTTAGTTTAGGGCTAGGGCTAAGGTTAGGGATATTATTAGGGTCAAGGTTAGAGGTAGGGTTAGGCATAGGGGTGCTTGTAGCATTAGGCTCAGGTTTAGGGTTAGAATTAATGTAGTCCCTGGGTTATGTTTAGGGTTAGGCTAAAGGTAAGGGTTATGGTTAAGGCTAGGATAGGTTTAGGGCTACAGTTATGTTTAGGGTTAGGTTAAGGGTTAGGATTATTGTTAGTTTACAGATAGGATTAGGCTTTGGTTTATGGCTAGGTCTAGGTTTAGGATTAGAATTAGGTCAAAGGTTAATATTAGAGCTAGGGTTAGAAATATAGTTTTAAGGTTATGATTATGGTTAGTATTAGGGCTAAGTTTAGGGCTAAGTTTTAGGTTAGTGTTAAGTGTTAGGTTTAGGTTTAGCATTAGGTCTAGGTTAGTGTTAGATTATGATTAGGGTTAGGGTTAGAGCCAGGGTTAAGATTTCATTTAAGGCTAGGGTTAGGGTTGGGGTATTGCTAATTGTAACCTGAACCCTAATTCTAACCATAAAACTAATCCTAACCCCAATTCTAACCATAATTGTAAACTCCAATCTTACCCTAACTCTAAACATAACCTTAGCCTAGAATGTACCCTAGCCATAATTGTAACCCTAATGCTAACCCTAACCCGAACCCTAACTCTAAACATAACCCTAGGACTACCCTAAACCTAACTCTAAATCTGAGCCTAATGCTACATGTAACCCTACCCTAACCCTATCTCTAACCATAATCCTAAACTTAACCCTAATATTAGCCACAGCCCAACCAAATCATAACTTTAAAGCTAGCCCTAAACCGAAGACTAACACCACATGTAACAGTACCCCAACCCTAACCTTAACCCTAAACCTAAGACTAACACTACATGTAACAGAACCCCAACCCTAACCTTAACCCTAACCCTAGCCTTAAATTTTTTGGACGTTTGAGACAGGGTCTCCTTGCAGCCCCAGCTGGCCTTGAATTCACAGCCTCCAGAGTGCTGGGATTAAAGGCAGGTGCCACCACGCCTGGCTTAGTTGAGCTTTTAAAAACTATGATATGTGTTTGGATAAACTGTAAATGATTAAACAACATTCTAGCGCTAGTTTTAAGTGTTTGTATAATTACTTAAAGACACAATTTTATTTATATGACTCATCTCAAGTGAATGGACAGACTCTGATCTGTCAAGCTGTTAGATAAAATTTTTCCTAGCCTCTGAGTGGGGTGGGAAAGCATTTTCATTTTAGCTCTCAGGGAACTATATTTAAACTATCTTAATCACATAAAAAGATGACCTTTTATGTGGGTTATCTTTATTTGGATGTTAGAAAAAGTTATACCGAACTTCAATCTCTTTAATTCAGTACTCATGTTGAGATTAAGAATGAACCATCAAAAGGGGGAAACACCTTAAATCTAATACATCTGTGGCAACAGCTATACTAAACAAGACATGGCTAGAAAAAATGAGCAGCATCATTTTATTTTAATGTCCCTGAAAGCAAGAAATGTTTAGTTTCTTTGGAGTTCCCTAAAAATACAGATTACAGTATTTTTAAGTGTATTTATTAAATGAGATTTTACAGCAAGTTCTGTTACTAACTACTGCACTGTAACCCCTGCCTCTCTTTATTCCAAACATCTTTCCAGAATGTTTAACATTTATTCTCTATCATGCCATCTTGCATTTACCATGTATCCTGCAACCATTCTGTTGGCTTTTGCATCACTAAGGTATGCTGAAAGCTCCTCTTTCACAAAAGTACCCAGTACAGTTTTCAGGCTTTATCATCTACACATGAAAATATCAGGTTGAAAATGGTATTTTCCACCTCACAAAATAGAAAATTCCAGAAGCTTAGAAAAAAAATCAGAAGAATGTATCTTTTTTTTTTGGTTAAGAAAATTATTAAATATATATATAGAGAGAGTTTGTTTTGAAACAGGGTCTCCCTATGTAGCCCCAGCTGGCCTCTATCTCATATTGACCTGCCTGCCTCCGCCTCCCACATGCTGGGATTAAAGGCATGTACCACCATGCCCAAAAGGTAAAAAAAAAAAAAAAAAGTGTATGATATTTGACTGTATATATGTAAGTACTCCACATGTGTGCAATGCCTGGGGAGGCCAGAAGAGGGCATCTGATCCCCTGGAACTGGAATTTTGGATGGTTAGCCACCATGTGGGTGCTGAGAACCCATGTGGGTCCTCTCAAAAAGCAGCCAGTCCTCTTAATCACTGAGCCATCTCTCCAGCCCTGGTAAATAAATTAAGTTTGAGATCTTTTCCTCTAAATGGTGGCTTTTGGAATGGTAAATGTTGTTTCTTTAAGACCAGCTATAATTTTCAAATGTACTAGCGGATTCCCAAGTTGTTCAAAGTTAAATGTCCTATCTTAACAAATGAATATATATTTAACATAATACCAAGTAACAAAAGGACTGAAACTTTTATTATGTTGAACTAAATTTGTAGTATTTGTAATATTTGTTACTAACAAAGCATGACAGGAGCTGGAGGATGCTCCATGGTTAAGGCACTAGCTGTGCTTCCAGGGGACTTGGTTTGGTTCCCAGCACCCACATGGTATCTAACAACTGTCCTTAACTCCAGTTCTAGGGGATCCAACACCCCTTTTCTGACCTCCACGGGCACTGCATGACATGGGTACATCTACATACATGCAGGCAAAACACTCATACACATATTTTTTTTTTTTTTTTTTTTTTTTTTTTTTTTTTTTTTTGTCTTTTTGAGACAGGTCTCTCTCTAGTCCCAGCTGGTCTGGTACTTGCTATGTAGACCAGGCTGCCCTCAATCTCACGGAGATCCGCCTACCTCTGCCTCTTGAGTGCTGGGACTAAAGGCGTGCACTTTGTAGGTAGGCCCAGTCTGCTTTACATAGTGAATTTCAGGCCACAGGGAGACCCTGTCTCCAAAATAAAAGGGGGGGAGGGTGACTGTGAAAGTGTTTCAACAGTAATAAGCATACTGTTATTACTAATTAGACTATTGACACTCTCTGTGAATCCTTAAAGATAACATACATTGTCATACTAGATGGGATTTACAAGATTCACACACATACACTGAAAAACCTACTCACACAAATAAACCATGTTCTTATAGCGAACATATTTAAATTTGGGCACTTTGAGGAAAACTGAGGTTTCTGGTACATTCCATATTTAGGAAGAGCAGAAGTAGAAAGTTCACATGGAAGTTTAATTTTATTGCAAACAGGATTTTAAATAGGTGAGTTGTAGAGATGACACTATGAAGTGATTAACTTCATAGGATGAATCAGCATATGGAAGAAAACAACAGTGTGAGAAAGGGGAACAACACTTTTCTTTTACATTCTCATCTTTTTTTCCTCCATGCTCTTGGACTTTTTCAGGCACTAGAAGTAAGGAATTTGGGTGGCTCAACTGAGCTTGTTAATGTGAACTGCCATTCTCTGAGGTAGAAGACTTAAGGAGAATATATGAAGAAAAAGCAATTCCACACTCTGGTTTCTTTAATAATAATGAAATTGTTTCATGATAAAAGATCTATCATTCAGGGCTGGAGAAATGGCTCAGGGGACAAGAGCACTCACTGCTCTTTCAGAAGACCCAGGTTCAATTCCCAGCACCCACATGGCAGCTAACAACCATTCATAACTCCAGTTCCAGGGAAATCTGTTGCCCTCTTCTGACCTCTTTGGGCATTGCATGACACAGGTGCACCTACCTACATGCAGGCAGTACACTCATACACATAAAATAAAAACCAATTTAAAATATTTTTTAAAAAAGATCTATTATTCAAATATTGTGAAGCAGGACTGAGATTATTCTAGTAGTGGGATGAAAGAGTTTAGTCTGTTAAATTTCAAATCACAGTTACAATTTTCTATTTTTGCTGTAACAAGAACAGAGTATTATTTCTCTTAAGTATTATCTGTAGACATCTGTAGCTACAGCTTTTATACTAAACTGCTTGGTCTAAGTTTGTAGGTAAAACACTCAGCTTGAATTTGACAGTGAAATAAGAATATACTTGAATCTATAGATTCGGAAATTAAGATAATGTATTTAAAACTCCTAGAGTCTGATCTCTGCAAATAATAGGAAATTATCAAATAAATGATAGATTGAACTTCCAATTTAGAAATCATAAGTTTCCTCAGTTCTTCAGGCTTTATCCCAAGTAGATACAAAAGATAAGGTAGCTATCCTCGCTTGTGACCAATACAGGAATCCATCCATCCATTTAGAGATGACAGACAAGGAGAGTAGAAGCAGACACTGGGTGTGGCAGGCACACCTTTAATCCCAGCTCTCAGGAGGCAGAGGCAGGTAGATCTCTGCAAGTTCCAGGATAGCCTGGTCTACATAGTCAATTTAGGCCAGTCAGGGCTATTAAGTGAGTCCTTGTCTGAAACAGAATAACAACAACAAAGTGGAAGAAAAAAAAGAGAGACAAAAGCCAGGAAGTTGCAAACAAGAAAAAAATTCCTCAGACAATGTAAAACTTGTGTTGTCATTATTTTAAAAATAATTATTCCCAACTACATTCTTTTTTCAAGCTATGTTCTGGAATTACCTGATCAATACTGAACTTTTCTGCTTTAGAGACAGATTTTTTTTTTTTTTTTTTAATGGGAGGAAGGAAAAAAACGTTACTTGATTTTCATTTTAATTTTAGGGCTTGCCATGAAACCTCCCACTAAAGGCAAGCATAGATGAAGCACTCTCCCCGTATCTACACATTCCAGTCTACCTGTACATTTGTACTCACCAGAATAGTGGATCCCACTGCCTGCAGTAAATGGAACAATAGAGGATTTTTAACTTTACCGCATATTTTGACGCTTACTCAAGATTCAGACACATAATGAAAACATGGAAATCTTTGCTATTATACAACATTAACTATTGAAACATATCTACATGCTGAATAAGGAAATGTAAGAAATAGTTTTGAACTAGAAACTTATATTTAACCTCAGGGAGAAGCTAAAAAGATAAGAAGCTAAAAGATACACAAAAGCAATACTCTTAAAATTCAGGAAAAGAATCAATATTAAAATATCAGCAAAATTGCTCTTTAGATATAAGGGCAACGATTTTTTTTGAAAGTTCTATTTTCTATGACTAATTCAAGGAGCACAACCTAACAATTTATACATTTATGGTAAACTGTGCATGCAAAAAGGAACTTACAAAGTAAAATAATTCCAAAATTTTTAACAGTTTTAAATTTTAGAACAGTAATATCAAGTATTTTTAAAAATCTAATTTTAGAGCTAAGGGGTATAGGTCAGTGGTAGATCCCTTGCCTCGAATGCTTGAGGCCTGGATTCAATCGAAAAAAAAAAAAAAAAAAAAAAAAAAAATTCTAATTCTCCTGAGTTGTTGTTATTAAATATTTACTGCTCTGAACTTTATTAAAGCATTACTTAGTTTACATAAAATTAAATGTACTAACTTGTCATCTTACCATCTTTTCCATCTATGGATTTTGACACCTCAATATCAAAATTTTCTTGCATCTGGTGACCCCTAAAACAACTGAGATGTTCTTGCTCAATTAAATTACTTTCTTCTTCTTCTAAAGGTTGCCAAGTCCCATCAATAAACCACTGTCCACGCATTACTGGTATTTTATCAGCCTCTGAAAAGAGAAATCACAAAATCATACATTTTAGGATATAACCTCTCAAAAGGAGACAAGTAGCTACAGTTTTATATTTTGCTGTTGTTATTCCCCCAAACAGACGTTTTAGGGTTGAAAATTTCAGATTTCAAGCCAGGGTAAAATTTTCTGTTTGTTTCATTCAAGGTCTCATTTTTGTAGCCCTGGCTGGCCTAGAACTCACTAGGTAGATCAGGTTAGCTTCCAACGTTCATCTATTCTCCTGCATCTGCCTTCTGAGTGCTGGCTGATAGGTGTAAGCCTATTACACCTGGCAATAATTTCTTTTTAACAGTATCAAAACTTACTTACATTAGATATTACACATACAGTTGCTCTAACATTAGGAGGGAAGAGATGAGCAGCTATCTCTTTATCTGAGGACCTAAATAACCCATATTTAGAGGTTAAGGGTTTAAGACAAGTTTCATGCAAGGCTTTGTTTATAGGTAAAAAGTCTTAAAACGCATCGATTTCATATATCAGAAGTAGTGGTACGGCAGTATCATGTCGTGCTTTTTAGGCTGTGTTGGAATTTATGTGTTTCCAGTTAGAACACAGGAATACAATTATAATAAATTCCTTATCCATTTTACAAAAAGAATAAGAAAACATTAAATAATGTATCTCCAATTAAACATTGTTCCAAGAATTTTTATCTAAAATAAACCACACTGTTAGTTACCTTGAATCCTAAAAATGTTTTCAAAAAGGAAAAATAGGGCTGCAAAGGTAGCAGAGGGCTTACCTAGCATGCACCAGGCCCTGGGTTGATAAACTGCGTTAGTGTCATGCAAAAAAGAACATACACACAAAATAAAAACTCCAAAATTTGTGACAGTTTTAAATTCTAGAACAGTAATCAAGTATTTTTAAAAATATAATTTTAGGGCTAAGGGGTGTAGTTCAGTTGTAGATCCCAAGCACCACCAAAAAATAAAAATCAAATCAAAACAAAACAGGATGAAAGTAACAAAACTCTAAAAGTAAAAGCAAAATGAAACAAATGAACCTAACCACACAGAGAGCTGGTGATTTAGCCACACAGAATTTCAACTGATCAAAGCACAGTTAATTTTATCTGTACTAGGAAATAGTCCATTGACAAAATCAGAGCAAATATATCTGAAAGTTTCTGCAGCAGCTACACTGTTAGTAATAACATTAATGTCGCTCATTTCAAACTGTAGGCTCTGGCGAATGTATTAATTCTGTTAATGTCATTAGGACCTTAGAACTTTAGCACAAGAGAGATACAAATATAAAAATCAAAGAAAACCCCTGTAATCATAAATTTCCATTACAAATGTCAGTATGAACTACTGACACATTTCTCTTTAAAAATAAAGTTCAAGCTAGAAAAGGCTGACTAACAGACTGTGCTGGATAGCTTTAGTGTCAACTTGGCACACCTGGGTTGAGGGAGCCTCAATTGGGGAATTGCCTTCATTGGACTGGCCTACGGCCATGTCCATGGGGCACCTTCTTGATCGTTGAGTGATATGGGAGGGCCTAGCCCACTGTGGGTGGTGCCACCCTTGGGCAGGTGGGCCTGTGTTACATAAGAAAGCAGGCTGAGCAAGGGCTGGGAGAGCAAGCCAGTAAGCAGAGTTCCTCCATGGCCTGTGCTCTAGCTCCTGCCTCCAGGTTCCTGCCCTGAGTTTCTACCTTGGGCTTCCAGATGAACTGTGACCTGGGATATGTGTGCTAAATAAACCATTTCCTCCCCAGGTTGGTATTGGTCAGAGTGTTTTGTCACAGCAATGGAACAAAATTGAAGACCCAAATATGAGTAAATGCAATTTCAGCCACCTGATATTTGACAAAGGGGCCAAGAATATTCACTGGAG